AAAAAAAAAAGTAATTTTCGGTTTCAGCCTGACAAATGCTGCTGCGGGAAGTGCATTGCAGTGCTATTCATTTCAATGGCACCAAAAATGCACCTTCCAGCCACAGTGTGATCACCCTCACTGGGACGCACAGTACCACAATGTCCTGTGTTCCAGTGCAGTGCAATTGCAAAAAATTGTGCATGCAGTCAGTTTTATTCTGAAGTAAACTTTGTAACACTGCATTTGTGTATTTTATCTTAGGATGGTATTTAATTTATTTAATCTAATCAATAAAATTAAAAAATCGGCCAACTAAATCGATTATACCCCCACACACGACTGGGGAACTTTCTAACCTTCCCTCGCACCACCCCATATACTACTATATAAAACAGATGCATTTTTCCTTCATCCTTGCACCCCTAGATCCGACCTTCGAACTGGCGACACTTTAGAAATACGGTTAATACACTCATGCCTGTAGGATACAAATTGACACGTCGCTTACTGGCCTTCTTCATATTGTTTATTCATGCAAATTGTTTATCTTTTATAACACTCAAATGAAAGAAATATCCTATTATAATTGACAATGCCACTCTGAGAAAGGAAAACATGTCTGCTAAAATGGCTGTCAGTGAAAAACTAGTTGTCTGCCACTTTGAAACTTCAACATTGCATCTCACGGGGGGGTGGTAACACAATATAATTCCATAAGCTAAAAAAAAAAAAAGAAGAAACAAGCCATGCAAAATTGTTTTTCATCAGATAGCACCCATGTCAAATAAACCCCTGTCATTTATCGTATTATCATATCTTGAATAAAATACTGCAATACAGCACGGAAGATTTATAGCCTAGATCGGTCACCCTTTCATAATGACTTAGCTGCTACAGTTCTCATATGTTTCCAAGCCTGACAATCTACATAGTGCCATAATTATACCAGCCAAGCATCACTGGAAAAACCTGCAGATTTATCCGCTTGGCTGCCAGCATGCTGGAATCATTTTTAAGGTTCAATGCCTTGTTCTAAATAAGCAAAACTGTCAGCCATCCAATTATATATTGCACAAAAATAAGGCTATATCATGGTATATACAATGTACATATTTTCTACATAGTTTGCAACACAAAACAGTGCACATACTTTAGTGCTAATGCACAACATTACCCTTATCCTCTGGACATTATCTGGTCTGGAAAATAGTGTGAACCTGTCTGCAGTTCCAGTGCATTCCAGACCAGACAAAATGAGACAAGCAGTATTTTTCTGGTCTGGTACGGACTGCGCTGGTGTGAGCAGAGGCCAGAAATAGCATAGGGATACACTAGGATGCATTTTGGGTCTGGAAACAATCTGGTCTGGATGTGGTGTGATTGGGCCCTTATTCTAATAAAGTAAGTAGTACTTACCTTCATCCTTCTTTCTCTGTTTGCCCAGTCTCAGCAGTCCATGTCCCCTTCAGGTCGGAATCACAAAAAACGTGTCATCAGCCCACAAATGACATTGCACCTTCTCTCTCGCTTGTGATGTACCCTCATCAGAAAAAAAAGCCTTTCCTTCTAAGATCGCACAAGAACTTTTGGGGGAAAGTGTAAAGTTCACCACACATTACCATCTGATTGTACAATCTTCAGATCTATCTATGCAGTGATTGGTTCAAAATTAAGTGCGCAGGTCCTCATATTGCATAGTCTTGGTAAAGCTAAAGTTGACTGTACAAAGGTTGTATTGTCAGTTTGCAGTGTATGGCGACTCTTCTCAGATGTGTTTTGGCACATGTGCGAGATGAAACACATGACGTCATACACTTCCATCTAGCACATGTGGCATGCAACACTATACTCATCTGTTGAGGGAAAAAAGCGCCTTCCACCCCCTCTCCATAAAACAGCATAGATTAAAGTGACACTAAACTCAGGAGTTAAATCTTAAAAAGTACCTCAATTATTAACAAAAAAATCTTATTTGTGCGTTACTCAGCTGTAGATCCTCAAATCATCTCTGAATTGGTGCTGACACTGCCCTTCCTTCTGGAGGGTGGCAACTTTTGTTGCCCCATGTTCCCTATGTGTTGTAAAGTAGCCACCGCTCCAAGCTCACTCCTGTGATGGACTACAATCTGGGTACAAATGAGTAAACTAAACAAGGCTTCACATGTTTGGTGCCTATTTACCCGACGTGACCCCGTCTTTTATATTTTACCAAAAAATTGGGTAATAAGAAAATGTTTTATAATTTAATATAGAGGAAACAGTTTTTGTTTTTCTTCAAAATATTTGGTAATTTTTCCAATATAGTAAAAAATAAAAACCCCAGTGGTGATTAAATACCACCAAAAGAAAGCTCTATATGTCCCCCAAACAAATGGTATAAAATTCATTTCAGTACAGCGTTGCATGACGGAATAAATGTCAGTCAAAGTACCTCAGCGCTGACTACTGAAAAATGGACTGACCAGGAAGGGGGTTTAACACCCCGGTCAGCAAGTGGTTAAATTACATTTCAGAACTCTAGTTGAATTCTGCACATGCTCAAACATGAATTAAGTTGTAAAACACTTAAAATCGGGTCATAGTGTTGGAAATACCATGAATTACTTAGGTTTTGTCCACCAAATCTGGTACTGTCAAACATTGGGGCCAATCCAGCAACAGGTTTGAGATTCTTGCACGTCCCACACA